GAGCCACCGCACCCGGCCTGGCTTAGATTTTTAAAGAAACTTTGTATATGAAATCTTCACTGCACTGTGTTGGGTAGAATGGCCTAGGCTAGGGTAGGCTTCATGGGCTGCCACCTTTCGTCTAAAAGAAGAGACATAGTTTAGTCTCAGACTCCTTTTGGCACTAGTGCTTCATTATTTCCCAAATTTCTGAGAAGATGATGATGAAACAAAGTAAGTTGTCACTGAATCCTTGGGTTCCTGGAATTAGTTAATATTCTGTTTTATTTTTTATTTTTTGAGACGGAGTCTTACTCTGTCGCCCAGTCTGGAGTGCAGTGGCATGATCTCGGCTCACTGAAAAAAAAAGATAATGCATTAAATGAGGACTGTACTTTGTAAGGCTTAAAAGTCGATTTCTTCTAGGAGGCAGGCTAGTAATGTCAAAGAATAAAGCTGTATGGGCACAGGGAATGTGCTGGAGTAGAGAGAGCTGCCATGCAAAGGGTAAAGTAACTGTTTACATTGATGAGCTTCAGCTAATTATTGCCCTTCCAGTGTAGTTTGGCCATATGGTTTAGAATTTTTTTTTTTTTTTTTGAGATGGAATCTCGCTCTGTTGCCCAGCCTGGGGTGCAGTGGTGCAGTCTCAGTTCACTCTACTCACTGCAACCTCCGCCTCCCGGGCTCAAGCGATTCTCCTGCGTCAGCCTCCCGAGTAGCTGAGATTACAAGCATGTGCCACCACGCCTGGCTAATTTTGTATTTTTAGTAGAGATGGGGTTTCTCCATGTTGGTCCGGCTGGTCTTGAACTCCTGACCTCAGGTGATCCACCTGCCTCGGCCTCCTGAAGTCCTGGGATTACAGGTGTGAGCCACCGCACCCGGCCTGGCTTAGATTTTTAAAGAAACTTTGTATATGAAATCTTCACTGCACTGTGTTGGGTAGAATGGCCTAGGCTAGGGTAGGCTTCATGGGCTGCCACCTTTCGTCTAAAAGAAGAGACATAGTTTAGTCTCAGACTCCTTTTGGCACTAGTGCTTCATTATTTCCCAAATTTCTGAGAAGATGATGATGAAACAAAGTAAGTTGTCACTGAATCCTTGGGTTCCTGGAATTAGTTAATATTCTGTTTTATTTTTTATTTTTTGAGACGGAGTCTTACTCTGTCGCCCAGTCTGGAGTGCAGTGGCATGATCTCGGCTCACTGCAACCTCTGCCTTCCTGGTTCAAGCGATTCTCCAGCCTCAGTCTCCCAAGTAACTGGGACTACAGGCACATGCCACCACACCTGGCTAATTTTTTGTATTTTTAGTAGGGACGGGGTTTCACTGTGTTAGCCAGGATGGTCTTGATCTCCTGACCTCGTGATCTGCCTGCCTTGGCCTCCCAAAGTGCTGGGATTACAGGTGTGAGCCACCGCGCCCGGCCTGGATTAGTTAATATTCTAAATGTGAAATAGTGATGACTTTTTCCACCATGTTTGCAATTGTGTGTCACTTTTTGCCTTAGTGCTCTTTATAAAAAGGCAGGTGAAGCTAGCCCTATTTCTGAGTATGTAGCTATGACCTAGAGATTACTCTAGGCTTCATGTAACAAACCTGACTACGATGATTTACCAAAATAGGAGTTCGTTTTTCTCCCAGAACACGAAATCCAAAGGTAGATACCCCAGGCCTGGTTGCGTTGGTTCCATGATGTCAACAATGCCTCAGACTCCTTCAGCCCTTCTGTTCTTTCATCCTTAGCATATGGTTTTCAACTTAATCTTTGCCTTAGCTGAAAAATAGCTGCTTCTCCTTCAGTCTGCATCAGAAAAGCAAAAGTTTTCTAGAACTACCCAGCATATCCCTTTCACTTTGTTGACCAAGTGTGTGGTCACTCATAACTACAAGGGAAACTGGACAATGTAGTTTTAAAATTGCGCAAACTGACTTCCTAAACAAAATTGGAGTCTTACCAGTAAGGACGAAGGAGTGGAAATTAATGGGCAATCAACAGGGTCTGTCACATAATTTTTTTTTTTTTTTTTTTGAGATACTTAGGGTTGAGTGCAGTGGCGCGATCTCGGCTCACTGCCACCTCCGCCTCCTGGGTTCAGGCAGTTGTCGTGCCTCTGCCTCCCAAGTAGCTGGGACCACAGACATATGCCATCACACCCAGATAATCTTTTCTTTTCCCTTTCACTTTCCCTTCCGTTCTCTTTTTTTGAGACAGAGTCTCACTCTGTCACCCAGGCTGGAGTGCAGTAGCACGATCTCGGCTCACTGCAACCTCTACCTCCCAGGTTCAAGTGATCCTCCTGCCTCAGCCTCCCCAGTAGCTGGGATTACAGGTGCCCACCACCACGCCTGGCTAATTTTTGTAATTTTAGTAGAGACGGGGTTTCACCTCATTGACCAAAATGGTCTCGAACTCCTCACCTCAGGTGATCCACCTGCCTTGGCCTCCCAAAGTGCTGGGATTACAGGCATGAGCCACCGCACCTGACAATTTTTCTCTCTTTGGTAGAAATGGGGTTTTGCCATGTCAGCCAGGCTGGTTTTGAAATCCTGGCTTCAAGTGATCCTCCTGTCTGCCTCCCACAGTGCTAGGATTACAGGTGTGTGTGAGCCACTAAGCCTGGCCATATTTTAGGATTATATCAAAGAGAAAGCCATTTTTTAAAGAGCTTATAGAGTTTGCCTCAAGTTACAATCTTGGGTTTTAGTAAACTATTCCAGAAATATATCCCTTTTCTCACACTTCCAGGTAGTGGGATTGGGGCGACATATTATATTTGCCTTGGGAACCATAGTATATGTCTAAGAACATAGATTTTGGAGTTGGCCTTAAGTTTGAATTCTAGCTTTGCTTCATTCTGGGCGTGAAACATTGGCCAGACTAGTTAACCTTTCCTAAGATTCTCTCATTCGTAAAATAATACATGACACAGGTTTATTGTGAAGATTAGAAGTGATGATTTAAAGCCTTTATTTCTGTATATCATAAGAATTACAACTAGTTTGTTTTGTTTTTTAGTGAATTAAACATTTTCCAGAAATTAGACGTAAGCTTTTTATATAACTTTAAAAATTTTCGTGTGCCAGGTTATTTTTTTTTTTTTCATAATGCTTAGATGTGAAATATGTGGTGATGTTTTGTAGAAACAGTTCGTGACTATGAGCACCAGTTCCACCTTAGGCTGGAGCAGGAGCGAGCACAGTGGGCACAGTATAGAGAATCCGCAGAGAGGGAAATAGCTGACTTAAGAAGAAGGCTGTCTGAAGGTCAAGAGGAGGAAAATTTAGAAAATGAAATGAAAAAGGTATGAAGGAATGTGTTCATCTGTAGAAATATTTGAATTCAAATGCAGAGTGCTCTAATATTGTTGTGTAATAGAAAGTAATAGAAGTACTTTGATATTTCCTGTGAGAGTAATTATTTGGACACAGACCTAAACATAGTACTAAATAATGTTGTATCTGTGGCTAACTCTGTCATCTTCTTCAAAGTTTTGATCAAATGTCACTACTTCATGGGGTTTATCCCGACCACCTGCCATTTAACATCACAGCCTGCCAACTTCCCTCTGCCGCCTGTCACTACTCTCGTCTCCCTTATCCTTCTCTAGTTTTTCTCTTTCCATAGCACGTATTTCCTTATACTATACAGAGTTCACCTGTTGTGTTTATTGTTTACTGTCTTTCTTTCCTTGCTAAAATATAAGCTCTGTGAAGGCAAGAGTTTCTCTTTCTCTCTCTCTCTTTTTTTTTAATAGATTCGGGGGAACATGTGCTTGTTTTTTATTTGTATATCCTAAATGCTTAGCATAGTGTCTAGGAGATAGGTGCTTGAATTCCTAAGTATCAGTTGAGTGGGTGTTGTTGCTTGATGACTGTGTCTAAAGCGAAGTTCTAGAATAGATGTTAGTTTTCCTTCTTTCTCAGTGTCCTTTGGTTTCTGTGTACCACACATTATGTACCACATATGCTTGAACATAATACCATATAATACTTGAACATAAGGCAACTAAATGTAAAGTGAGACATTTTATCATTGAGAAAATATTAAAAGCTTTTGAGCCAGTTTAATTAAATGAACTTTTACATTATTTTATATGCATACACATATTTAAAATCACATTATATAAAATAATTAGTAATTGATTTTTCTTTTCAATTGAATTTATCATGCCTTTTTGGTTCTTATTTCTTAGTTCATTCTTCAAATGTATGTGTATTCATGATTTCCACAATCTTTTATTTTTTTAGAACTGTTTTTGATTATCTGAAAAATTGGGAAGATAGTTCCTATGTACTCCATGCCTAGTTTCCCCTGTTGTTAATGTTTTACATTAGCATGGTACATTTGTCACAGCTAATAAGCCCGTATCAATTTATTCTTATTACCTAAGTCCATTTTTGTATTCAGATTGCATTAGTTTTTACCTAATGTCCTTTTTTTTTCTGTTCTAGGATCCCATCCAGGATACCACATTGCATTTAGTCATGTCTCCTTAGGTTCCTCTTGGCTGTGACAGTTTCTCAGATTTTCCTTGTTTTTAATGACCTTTCTGTCATTTTTAAAAGTGCTCTTTAAAGGTTTTGTTTATGATGACATTCAGCACTTGGAATTGTGAAGTCATATTTATATTAATAAATAACTTGATTTGTGATCAATTCTTGGCTTCCTCCCTCCTTATTTTTCCCTGTTGTTTTTTATCAGATGACCTTTATCAGCATCCTAAACTAGCCTTGACTGAGATATTTTAACTTGTCTTTTCCAAGTAGTATTTAATTCAAAATAAAATAAATGATGACTTTGTAAGGACCTGAAAACAAAGTGAATCTGAACCCCTGTTTTTTGAGGGATATGTGTTTTGGGGAAAATCCACCTCACGTTTGGGCATTTATGATATTTTTCCCTATCGTGCACAACTTAGGAAAGTTTGCACCCATTTAAATTCAGTGAATTAGGTTTTCAGTTTCTCTAGAAGGAAAAAAGCCAACTTTTTGAGCCTGCCTTTGTTTCTCTGCGTGTAAGTGTATGTATATATAAGAAATGAAAATTCGTTTTCTCACCAGTTTACTAGTTTATGTAAGTTGGTTCCTTTTAATCCATGTTTTTGAGAATGGACTTTGGAAAACAATGATAGTTTTAAGGGTCATTCTTTGGGTTTGTTTCATTTAGATGGTAAAAGTAAAATAATATTTAAAGTACTCTGTTTAATTGGATGGAGGCCTTTTTATAGCAACATAATTTTCTAACATTTTGGAAAACACATTATTCTATTTTGGGTGTTTAAAATATAATCAGCCCTTTCATTATTCATAAGAAATTATTGTCTCATGAACTTAGTAACCCAGGAATTTAAAAAATCGTTATGGGCTGGGCGCGGTAGCTCACGCCTGTAATCCCAGCACTTTGGGAGGCCGAGGCGGGCGGATCATGAGGTCGGGAGATCGAGACCATCCTGGCTAACACTGAAACCCTGTCTCTACTAAAAATAAAAAAAATTAGCCGGGTGTGGTGGCGGGTGCCTATAGTCCCAGGTACTCAGGAGGCTGAGGTAGGAGAATAGCGTGAACCTGGGAGGCGGAGCTTGCGTGAGCCGAGATCACGCCACTGCACTCCAGCCTGGGCGACAGAGCGAGACTCCGTCTCAAAAAAAAAAAAAAAAAAATTAAAAAAAAAAAAAATTATTATGTGTATTTCCTTTTATATATTGGCTATTTTCAAGTCAAATTTGTTTTAGTCAATCAGTTTTCCCATTCCCAAATTCTAAATAGAATATTTGGGAAAACTTCAATTATACCTTGACATTCAAAGTAATGCACTATTTGAAAGTTAGACATTAATTCAGTTTTGTGAATGTTAATATAGTGCCTGGTCGAGTTACTTGTTACATATTAAGTTTTAGCAAATGGAAAGGTTAGAGTTTCTTAGGAAAGCAGTAAATGAATAAGTCGTGGCATTTAATTCTTTTTAACCATAGGCCCAAGAAGATGCTGAGAAACTTCGGTCTGTTGTGATGCCAATGGAAAAGGAAATTGCAGCTTTGAAGGATAAACTGACAGAGGCTGAAGACAAAATTAAAGAGCTGGAGGCCTCAAAGGTTATGAAACATTGTAATCCATTTGCTTGAAACCCAAGATTCTGCCCCAGTACCATGAACAAAATTAGAATCAGCAATAGGGGAAAAAACCCTGTAATTTAGACTATACATCTTAAGAATCTTTATTTACAGTGCAAAAAACTGCCACGCACGGTGGCTCATGCCTGTAATCCCAGCACTTTGGGAGGCCGAGATGGGCGGATCACCTGAGGTTGGGAGTTCGAGACCGGTCTGACCAACATGGAGAAACCCCATCTCTACTAAAAATACAAATTGGCCAGGCATGGTGGTCCATGACTGTAGTCCCGGCTACTCCCAGCCTCAGGAGACGGAGGCAGGAGAATCACTTGAAGCCGGGTGGCGGAGGTTGCAGTGAGCCGAGATTGCGCCATTGTGCTGCAGCCTGGGCAACAGGAGCGAAATTCCATCTCAAAAAAAAAAATAGTAATAAATAAATTTAAATCAAAAAACTGCTTTGAGATGGTTTTGCTCTTACGGACATTGAAAATAATCACAATAATGGTGTTTTATCACAAGTGGCTGCTTTGTCACAAAGTTAGTGTTCATTTTCTTAAGAAAAGGAGACCCCGTCTCATTCATTTTCCTATTAAGGAAAATAAACTGTTCAAAGTTGACCTTGTTTTCTGATGGCAGCTCCAGCATTGATGTTTTAGAGATAATGTAGCTATGGTATTGCTGAATTTGTTGGCCATAAAGACACAGCAAAAGAATTAAAATAGGAACAGGCCAGGTGTTGTGGCTCACACCTGTAATCCCAATACTTCAGGAAGCCAAGGCAGGAGAATTGCTTGCACCCAGGAATTTAAGACCAGCCTGGGCAACATAGTGAGACTCCCGTCTCTACAAAAAATTTTCAGAAAATTAGCCAGACGTGGTGGTGCATGCCTGTTGTCCCACCTACTTGGAGACTGAGATGGGAGGATTACTTGAGCCCAGGAGTTTGAGACTACAGTGAACTGGCACTCCAGACTGGGTGATTGAATGAGACCCTGTTCCCCATACCCAAAAAAAAGGAAGAAAGTAGGAACAAAAGAAGCAATGAGAGAATAAGCAAAAACGATATAAAAATAAATGGGAATTTATCAATAGTCTTGGTAAATGTAAACTGATACCTGTGTTTAAAAGAGATTATCACATTGGATTGTAAAAATCTAACTATATTACTTGTAAGAGCTATGCCTAAAATCAAACTACAAGGTAAGATTGAAAATATTAGCCAGGCATAGTGGTGTGAGCCTGTGGTCCCATCTACTTGAGAGGCTGAGATGGGAGAATTACTTCAACCTAAAAGGTTGAAGTTGCAGTGAGCCATGATCATGCCACTGCACTCCAGCCTAGGTGATAGAGTGAGACTCTGTCTTAAAGGAAGGCTGGGCGCGGTGGCTCATGCCTGTAATCCCAGCACTTTGGGAGGCCGAGGTGGGTGGATCACCTGAGGTCAGGAGTTCGAGACCAGCCTGGCCAACATGGTGAAACCCTGTCTCTACTAAAAATACAAAAATTAGCCAGGCATGGTGGCACACGCCTGTAGTCCCTTCTGTTTGGGAGGCTGAGGCAGGAGAATTTCTTGAACCCGGGAGGTGGAGGTTGTTGCAGTGGGCTGAGACTGCACCACTGCACTCCAGCGTGGGCAACAGATGAGACTCCATCTCAAAAAAAAAAAAAAGAAAAGAAAAAAGATTGAAAATAAAGGGATAAAAATATACCATGTAAATTAGAACCAAAAGAAAGCTGCTATAGCGAGTGTAGTATCACAAAGATAGGATAAGGGGGTAAAAGCCACTAATAGAGATAAAGAAGGATCCTATCTAAAAAACAGTTCATAAGTAAGATATAATAGTCATGAACTTGAATGCACTTTACATAGTCATGAAATGCATGAACTAATAATGACAATTACAAGAAGAAACTGACTTTCACAAATACAGTAGCAGATTAAAATTGACCTTTAGAGAATATAATCAGAAAAAATTATTAGTAGAGCTATAGACATTTTGAACTATCAGGTTAATAATTTAGTTGTAGCTGACACACAACTTGGTATCCAAGAACAAGATGGTATCACATACAGTACTAGAACATAATAGTTAAAAGCTCAGCATTTGGTAGCCTGGGTTACCTTGGGTAAATTACTTAATCATACTGTGCTTTGATTTTCTCAACTGTGAAATGGGGATAATAAGCCCACCTTAATAGTCGCCATGTGGCTATTATGAGGAACATATAAATTCCTATAATAGCCACCATATGGCTATTATGAGGAACATGTAAATTAATACCTATAAACATTTAGGATAGTATCTGGGACAAGGTGTAGTTATTTTTAGATACATTGTCTTAGAATTGAGGTTACACAGACCCAATTCTGTAACTATGAGTTATTCAGTTATTTACATTAAAATGATAGTTAAAATGCCTGGACATGAAAAAAATACTCATGGAAAAAGTAATTACAAAATATTTAGAATGATGTGAATAATGCCAGATCTTTAAAAAAAAAAAAGTACAAATTGAGCCAGGCACAGTGGCTCATGCCTGTAATCCCAGCACTTTGGGAGGCTTAGGTGGGTGGATCACCTGAGGTCAGGAGACTTCGGGACCAGCCTGGCCAACATAGTGAAACCCCATCTCTGCTAAAAATGCAAAAAATTAGCTGGACATGGTGGCAGGTGCTTATAATCCCAGCTACTGGGGAGGCTGAGGCAGGAGAATTGCTTGAACCCGGGAGGCAGAGGTTGCAGTGAGCTGAGATATTGCCATTGCACTCCAACCTTGGCAACAAGAGCAAAACTCCGTCTCAAAAAAAAAAAAAAAAAACTGAAAATAAATGGAAATGAATAATATAAATAATATAAATTTGTGAAATAGAAAAGCAAAAGAACAATAGAGAATATCAGTATAATGAAGAAATGGAAAACCTATACACAAATCTCTAGTAAGACTGATCAGAAAAAATGAAAACAAAAAAAGAGAAATCAGAAGTGAGGCCAAGTGGGGAGGCTCATGCCTGTAATCCTAGCACTTTGTGAGGCTGAGGCAGAAGGATCACTTGAGCTCAAGGGGTTGAGGCTGTGGTGAGCCATGATGGTGCCACTGCACACCAGCCTGGGCAAGGGAGCCTGTCTTAAAAACAAAAAAAACAGAGGACATAACTACAAATCAGTAGAAATTTTAAAATAACAAGTACTATAAACAATGTCACACAAATAAATTTGAAAACAGATGAAAAAAAATTTCTAATAAAAGATAGTTAGCCAAAATTGTTCCAAAACAGGAAAGCTAAGGTAGTCAGTAATTATTAAAGAAAGTGGATCTAGAGTAAAAAATCTTATTGTCTGTTGTCTCCTCTCACCGAAAGACATTAAACTGTTGGTTTTACAGGTAAGTTTTTCCAGACTTTCTGGAAAGAGCAAATTCTTATATTTTACAAAATCTCAGGGAATACAAAAAGAGAAAGCTCTCCAAATCATTTTATGAGACTAGTAGATCTTCACTACAAGTGAACAAACACATAGAAAGGTAGTATGAGAAAAAATTACCGATCTGTCTCAGGAATACAGAAGCTAAAATTTTCAGCATTGTAGCTAAAATAAACGGGGAGAAATACATCATGACTAAGGGTTTATTCCCAGAAATTTATCAGAAAATCTATTATTGCAGTGTACACATAAAATGATTGGAGAAGAACAGCATATTCGTCTTGGATTCAGAAAAGTATTTGAGAAATTTAACCACAATAACTTAGTAAGGGGCTATTAATCAAACCTTTAGCAAACATAGTTAAGGATGAATATTTAGCAGCCTTACCGTTAATGATGGGAACATTCTGGGGCAGACCCATGCCCAATAATTCAGAAATGAGGTATAAGAACTGGAAAGAAAGCTACGAGACTGATTCAATTGTCTATATAAAGAAACCAGGGAATGTACAACAGATAGTTAGACTTAATAAGAGTTCAACAATTTGAAAGTTGTTCTAACAAAATCAACATACAAAAATAGTTGTTTTTCTATGCCCCAGTTCAAGAATGCAGTGGGGAGAGAAAGATTGATCCTATTCACAAGAGTTAAAAAACAAAAACAAAACAAAAAACTAGTTACCTACCAATATAGCTAAACAAAGATGGGCAGGGTCCTTAGAGACTACATCATAAATGAGGACCTGAATCTGTGTATTTTCCTGAATGAAAAGATAGAGCATTGGGCCAGGTGCGGTGGCTCACACCTGTAACCTAGCACTTTGGGAGGCCAAGGTAGGGGGATCACCTGAGGTTAGGAGTTTGAGACAAGCCTGGCCAACATGGCGAAACCCGGTCTCTTTATTAAAAGTACAAAAATTAGCTGAGCATGGTGGCGGAAGCCCAGCTACTCAGGAGGCTGAGGCAGGAGAATTGCTTTAACCCAGGAGGCAGAGGTTGCAGTGAGCTGAGGTCGTGCCACTGCACTCTAGCCTGGGCGATAAAGCGAGACTGCGTCTCAAAGAAAAAAAAAAACCCTCCATTTGTATCCCCAAATTTTTTAATTTTACTCAGAATTCAACAGGGTTTAATAAGGAGCTTGATTAATTCAGTTCTAGAAATAGACTTCATATAGAGAAATAAAGGAACAGAAATATACTTAGCAAAATTTTGAAGACAAGATGAGGAGACTTGGCCTACCTATCAGATAGTAGGACCTCAGTAAAGCTACTATAATTAAGATAGTTTGTTACTGGTTTAGGGATAAACAGATGGATCAATAAAACAGCCCAGAAATAGACCTGCATATATGTGTAAATTTGATATATGACAGGTGGCATTACAGATCAGTGGGGGAAGAATGGATTGTTAAAAAATACCCTTTTTGGCTGGGTGCGGTGGCTCACACCTGCCATGCCAGCACTTTGGGAGGCCAAGGCAGGTGGATCACCTGAGGTCAGGAATTCGGGACCAGCCTGTGCCTGGCCAAGTGTGTGAAACCTGCCTCTACTGGGGCTGGGATCATGAATGTGG